AGATAGATAGATAGATAGATAGATAGATAGATAGATAGATAGATAGATAGATACCTGTGATATGAGAAAGGGTCTGTAAGTTTCCCCCTCTCCCTCTTGTAAGTTGAATCCCCAGGGAGCACCACCCCGCAGGGTTACGCAGATGTAATCCCCAGTTCCCATGCTGCGCACAGCTCCACAGTGCGCTCATCGAACTATCAGCCAGGGCAACGACACTTCACAAAATCCAACTCCAGCACACCACTGTGCAATCCCCATCATTTCAGCACTCCGTGAGACCACCCCGTTTTATACGACGTCACGGCGCAGGGACCCGCCTGCAGGCCGTCCGTACAAGTGGTGGTTTGGTGCCATCAGAGGCTCCTAAGTAAGCAACAGTTCAAACTTGGTCTCACATAGGCTTCATCACTATATTCTGACATATATAGACTCCTCTGGTCTTCAAACTTATGCGCCAGGCTCATTGATACCAAGAGTAGAAAACCAAAAATATATACCTTTGCATATCTTGTAAACTTGTTTGTAGATACTTATATGTAAAACATAATCTGTCAACTTTATTAAAAACAAAATACATTTTGTCTTTAACTTCGGGTAATATTTACCCACATGCACACGCAAATTTCAAGAAACTACGACCATAAATGTACATACACACAATCTAACAAATGATACAAATTCAGTTTTTCATCAGGATTTTCCTCCCAACGGTTGCAAGGTTGCTGACGTGTATGGGCTCCCTGAGTTTCACGCATGCGTACAGCGTAGAGAAAAGCCACTCCATCAAGCTAACTCTGCTCAAAGCAAAAAGAGGACCTAAACTCTTCGTCATAAAGCACAGCATAAAGTTTATAAGGCAATGCTTGACTTAAAAAAAAATCATGGTTTTATTTATTTACAAAGAGAAAATACAGGATATGTATGGTCTTGAATATGATAGATTGGATTGTGTTTACCCTGTTTAAGCGCTGTAAAGATGGTTGTTTACCCTTAATGATTTAATTTTGAAATGCCCTACCGGAAACTACATGCGTCTCCACGGCTCCGTAAACGGAGGTGGTTTAGTCTCTCTACTAACTGAGCGACCGGTGCTTTGGTTGAGTTTGACGTGGCACTCCGCTTTCACAGAGGGCAACAGACGGTGAGGAGGACTCAGCCCACTATTCAGGTAAATACTATGAACGAATTAAGGCCAGGTATTTAGGCAGTTAGGCTCTGGCAGATACTTTATTGATCTAAGTTTCACATTCATGTGCCCCAGTTGCAAATTAAAACTTTATACTCATTTCCGCGTTGCTAGCAAAATGTTTTCTCTTATGGGCATCATTGTGGTACCATGTTGATAGTAACCACGCATTTAGAAGAATATTATTTAAATTCCTCACCACCCTAGCTATAATAAGGCAAACATGAGCGTCCAGCTGGATCTGAATTAATGAGACCTCGCGATGCTCTCTGTTTTTTAGCCTTTATAACGGTCTTTGACGTGGCAATTTTTCGGAAATTGCTGATGATCCTCTCCACGATAACTCTGTGTTTCCCAAAAGGTTTTAACTGGTAGAATTGTAGTCAAATGTTTTGCTGTCACATTCAAAGATTTCGTTTTTATCTTGCTTGTTGTTGTCATATTCAAATATTACGTTTTTATCTTGCATTTATTTTCTTGGAGATGTCAGTACACAGCTGTTACATAGCTTACTCGTCTATTCCAATTTGAATCTATAACTGTAAAATATAGACAGTAAAATATATTTGTCAGTGATATTAGAATGTTGTTAGTCACTTGAACCAAAGATAGGCTTCTTTATCTCTCAACAAGCAATGCCAAAGGTCTCTTACAGAATGCTGATGAGGTCAGATATCAGATGTAGTCGGTGTGTAAACATTCTGGACTGATTACAGAAATATAGATGTCTAATGCTAACAATCATTGATCAGTCTTTTATATATACCTATTTATATTTGGACACTGTTAAAATGGAATCACTAAAACCATATATTCAAACAACTCACTAAGATAAAGTTAACATTTAAAAAAAAAAGAACAAAAAGAAACATACTTAACTGAGATTTTGAAAAGAGAAAACGCATCTGAAAATTCATTGGTTGGGTGCTGGATCAAATGACAATACATGGTATAAACAAGAGGGACCTGGAGCTTCAAATGTCACAACAAAAAATATTCTGTATGACAGCTTTTTGGTGTGTGGATCCACTTGTTCTCTTTCCTTTGCTTGAAATGTTTTACCCCCACAGGTTGTCAGAAGGTGATCATCTTGGCATGAGAAGGCAGTGACAGCATCCCATTAAGATGAGTCAACAGGGTTACGTAGCTGCACCTCCCTACTCACAGGCCCAGCCGGGTATGGGGGGCTACCAAGGTGGTTTTGGAGCTGGTTCTGCACAGCCCCTCTATGGACACTATGGAGGGCCCCCTCAGGCATTCAGTGCTCCACCAACAGGTGCAATTATTCTTCCTCTCGTGTATTGGCTCCTAAATGTGTTTGCTTGTTATTTAGTGAACGACTTTAATATTTCAACCTGAATAATTATTAGCAAGTACCGTAGTTATGTTTATGAATATCAGTTAGACTACTCAATTAGCAAACTTTGTAATATGGTATTTTACTGAAGTCAATGGAAACAAACATCCAAATTCTTATTAAATCTACTGATATTTATCAGGTATTCAGAGAAGAAGGTCAAGACAACAAATGAAATGACAGAAATGCTTTTGATCAAAAGCCCAACAACCACTTTTGTTCCACTTCCCAGTAAATACACATAATGTCTGTTATTCACCGCAGGTATGATGAAATCTCCAGTTTCGTCATCTGCGGGAATGCCACCACCTCCAATGTCCAGTCAGTACAGTCCAAATATCCAACAGAATGGTGCTCATCCACAAAGGTAGCACTCTTCATCAAACTGCAGTTGTTAGAACAGTTTATTTTGTTTGTCAAGAGTGAAATTTGTTTGTCACCTGAAATGGGTGGTAATAGTTCTCTGTGTCTGACATCTTGAGTCAACATTACAGATTTGTTTAGCTTTCACACACCATGAACAGTATTTACATGTTCAAGTTATAGGAGCAGATTGTTGAAATTGATGACTGTTACTCAGGTACCCTGCACCGCCAGCTGTGTCCATATCCTATGGTCAGCCTCCACACTCGCCGTATAACAACATGGCCACATCTGGACCTCCACAAGCAGAGCAGCTCGCCAGTCAGATGACTGCTATGAACTTCGGCAGCTATGGTAAGTTTGCTGTGGACTGAGTAGTATTCTTTACATATTGTAACTGTATCTATAGCAGTCATTTGGTGAAGGACTTGAGCCAGTGAGTTGAATATGGCATGTCGTGATTTATTTTTTTCCCTATTGTATAGCCCCAGGTTCCATGCAAAGCCCCCCTCCTCCAACAAGCCCAGTGGCCCAGCCACCTTTCCACACACAACCTCCTCAAGCAGTGAGACAGCCTCCAGGCCCACAGTCTCCCCATATGTCCTCCGAAATGTCTCCACCACAGTCACCCCCAGCAAGCCTGATGATGGGAGGCCCTCCAATGGCGGGCCCACCGATGGGAGGCCAGTCAATGGCAGGGCCTCCAATGGCAGGCCAGTCAATGGCAGGGCCTCCAATGGCAGGCCAACCCATGGCAGTCATGGGACGACCTCCAGGTCCGGGGGGTTTTCAGCAGCCTGGTCCTGGCCCTGCTGGTTCTCCAGGATATCCACAGCAAGCAGGTATGAAGTTTAACCTCATTTCAGCCAAATTTGAGGATTAAATTGAAGATTTGCGAACAAATACATCATCACACATTTTCACATTCTACTGACATATGATACATAATTGAAAGTGATAACTTCGGTATTTGTATTTATGTTGTATTTTTAGGAATATTATGCTAACAATGTTTTTAATATTCAGGTCAGTTTGGGGGACACATGGCTGGACCACAGCAAGGCATGCCAGGGGCTTTCCCAGGAGTAGCCGGTGCACTGGCTGGTCCACCTCAGAAGAAACTGGACCCTGACTCTATTCCAAGCACAGTGAGTTGTCAGTTAATTCTTAGACTGCATACCCTTCTATACCAACATCCTATGTTAACAGTCAATGTACTCATGGATGTTTTTCTGAAAAATATGCTAAAATCTTCCCAGTTATCAATTCAATGTATGAAGGGGATCATTAGAATACATGTATTTGTCATTTACATATAAATGTTATGCCTCAGACCCAAGTAATTGAAGATGACAAAGCCAAGCAAGGGGGCCAGGTCTACAGCACAAACATACGAGGACAGGTCCCGCCTCTGGTCACCACAGACTTCACAGTTCAGGATCAAGGTACTTAGTGTTGGAAGTCAATGGACATGTTTAACCATGAAAGGTTCATCTTCAGTTTGTTTAAAGCAAAAGTCTGTGCAATCAGTCAGAATGTCTGGACGGGAAATTGCCCTCAGATATATATTTGGCTCGAGTGTTCATTTGCACAAATCTGATTGATTTTAAGAATTTAACAACCACACATGAACATTTCTGTTATGTGACGTATTAAGATGATAATAATCGTGATGATATTAATAACAATAATATGTGAACAAGTAATATTCTTGAAAACTTTAAGGATATGAAAGCAAAAATGATTGTGTTCCATTCTGTTCTATTAGAGATCAGGTAACCCAGCAATTTGAGATAAAAATTTTTACCCAAATCTCAGACATCGGTTGCACTGATGTTATCAATGTGTTGTCACAATATAAAGGCTGATCATGGTCGTCGCTGTTCCCACAGGGAATGCCAGTCCCAGGTTCATACGCTGCACCACTTACTCACTACCGTGCACCACTGAGCTGGCCAAACAGTGCCAAGTCCCTCTGGCTTCCATCATTAAACCCTTTGCCAATTTGCCAAAAAATGAGGTAAGTTATGTTTGCTTTTAACTTGCACCATCAAAACAATAGAAGTTAACTCATATCTACAATACAAAATGATGTGCTACAGTTCTGTAGACTAAAATAGTCAACCATTCACCACACATTCAACCAGTTCTGTCCACACACTGCTCTGTGACTTCAGTATATTGTCATTACTGCATAGTCTCATAAGACTGAGAAAACCACGTGTAGGAGATGTATTTCTGTATCAGGGGTCCATAATTACAACACTCCTAATTGTATTAGGAGTATTGTAATAGTACTATAATTATGTTCTATTGTTCTTTGTGGCTGCTGGACTGACCTTGGAACTCACTTTTGGAGAAAAACTATTGAAAACACGTGATGGTTTGATAATTTCTGCTTTGGAGTATGGGGTTAGTTCTCCTTTGACAGAGGTCTTAGTGCTCTCCAACAGTTAATCTGTCTCGTGAATGACCTCCTTTTCGATCATGTGTGGTCCAAGAATCCTCCACTTGCCATATCTCAGGCACCAACTGTCCTTTTTAGGGAATGTTAGCTCTCCCTCCTTTGGCTTTTACACTAATTAGCTAATGTCAGATCTGCTGGGACCACTGAAGAAGAAATACAGTTTATACAAAAGGTATTGTCATATATCTGCTCTAAAACTTTAAATAGCAAACTGTAATCCATGCTCCTGGTTTGTACATGGCTCTATAGAGCATACAATAGTGCCAAAATATCCTCTTACTACACTGCTTTTGTTCAGTGTTCTCACCCCTCTGGAAGCTTTGGGTAAATGATACAAGTGCTACTTCTTCACCTGCATGCAGTAAAGTTAATTTAAAACAAATCTTTTTAGCTTATGTTGTGTGAATGCCAGCAGAAGTCCTTAAAAGTGGAAAGACAGTTTTGTGTTAGCAACCTGCCCGACATATGGTGCTCAGTTCCAGCAATCTGGAGAACTGAACAGATTCATGTGAACCATTTCCATTCCACAGTAAATAATGTTCTGTATATATAAGTGAACTGTGTGTTCTTTGGGTGTCATGGTACCACTGATGACTCAGGCATATGATGGTGTAAAAAGTGAGTAAATATGTGAGTGCAGCACTTTAGCGATGTTGAAGACGTGCGAGTCATCACAAAGAATGGAGACACTTGAAGTGTTCTGCAAAAGGAAATAAACAATGACAGACTGTATATCATACCAAGGATTATGTTCAGACCAAATATAGTATCTACTGCAGCCACTTTTTTTACTTTTCAGCATTAAACAAGTAATGAAAATCTTCAGAGTAATCTTAAGTATCTGGTTTGCGAATATGGTAACGATAGTATAACGAGCTACAATGAATTCAAAATGCTGCTGCACACAGAGAATTTAGCAAATTTTACGTGTATTTTGATCTTTATACTGGTGGCCTGATTGATTTTAAAATTGTACCGTACAAGTTTTTTGGACTCGGTGGCTTCACACCAGAGAAAGATTTTGAAATGATTACAGCTTTATATGCCTCTCAGATCTTTATCTGCCTCTTCAGCAGTTGTAAAAAAGAAAAAAAAGAAAATTGTCATTGTGCTTCAAACGGTTAAAACAGCCTGATGAAGGCCAATGGAGTAGCTGAAACCTTAAAAACCATTTTATTCAGTCAGATGTTTGTTGTTCACTATAATACTTTGTCATTATATTTAACCGATTTTTTCCTAAAATTCTTCATGTATTACATCAGTCTGTACCTTATCGTCGTCATAACTAGTATCATATCTTACAGAAGAAATCGTTTTGTTTCATCATTTAAAATGTGTTGTTTCCTGATGTGTTCTTGCACAGACTCCTCTGTATGTGGTAAATCATGGTGAGACGGGTCCGATCCGCTGCAATCGATGCAAGGCCTACATGTGTCCTTACATGCAGTTCATTGATGGTGGTCGTCGCTACCAATGTGGATTCTGCAACTGTGTCAATGAAGGTATAGAAGGATCTTTAAAAATCCTTAGATTCTCACTGTGAGTGAGCTGGCTTGTAAATATGAGAAATCTACAGGGTTCAGTCATAGATGCAACTGATTTCAATTGTCCTTTTTTAGTGCCCGTCTTTTACTTTCAACACCTCGACCACATGGGCCGGAGGGTGGACTTCTATGAGAAGCCTGAACTCTCTCTGGGATCGTATGAGTTTGTTGCCACTCTTGACTACTGCAAGGTACACGACAACAACAACATTCGTCCACTGGCATTAAGCGCACACTAAGAACAGCTCAATTATAAGTAATTTGTTTAATGAGAAATTTGTTTAGTACTGTGCATTAAATCGATCTTCAGTACTTCAGTACTTTCAAAAAAAAAAAAAAAAGGCACTGTTCATTTTTCAACCTGAGCTCATTATGTCAGAGCTACGGGACAGAAAAAACTTTTTAGTCCACGATGACAAGACAGAGATCCAAATCTGCTGTTTCCATGGAGGCAGCGGCCGTGGTAAACGGCTTAAGAGTGTCGAGGCTGTGTCACTCTACTGGCCTATTTTTGTTCTGTTTATAAAGACTGATAAACAACCTGTGCGGGACAGTTCATAAAGCAAATTCCTGCAAGGTGAGTGCCTTGTCATGGATACTGGCCATGGAAACAAAACAGTTGCATTGCTATTGCTGTAGTAACAAGAATACATGTCTTTTCCACTCTCTACAACCACAACACAAATTAAAACATATTTGTTGCTTAAAAATAAGTAATAGACCCTTTGGTTGAAAAAAAACACAGAGCCATGGTTGGTGCTCTTTTCCCATGCACATCTGCCGGTAGTAAAAAAATGTAACCAAGAATGAATTAAGAAAAAATATGACAGTTCCCTAATTAACTTAAATGTGAATGTTTATGTGTTTTTTTGTCTTTTTTGCTGTCACTTAAGGAGAGATTAAAATATTAATTTCTTCCCACACAGAACAACAAACCTCCAAATCCGCCTGCTTTCATTTTTATGATTGATGTGTCCTATAATAACATCAAAAGCGGCCTGGTCAAACTGATATGTAATGAGCTGAAGACTCTGCTGGAGAAGCTGCCCAGGTAAACATCATTATAGTATTGGCCCTATGTTTACTTTAGGGTCAGTGCAACTATGCTTTACCAAAATAATCTCCTGTCTGCAAATTGTACATTAAGATGGAAGGCAACAATGCAAGTCAGACACAATGCATAACTTCTCTAAAGATGTCAGCCATTTTGAGGGTGCAAAAAGCTGCAAAGAAATTGTGGCACGGCACATTTTGCCAGCATCAGCAAAAGCTTTGTTACAATACTCAAGACCAGTTTTGTGCTGCAAGCATACTCTGGATGGTTACTTCTAAAATACTCCTTTTCTTCTCTCAATCTTAGTTCCAGTAAAAACATATCCATACTTATGAGCTTATCCTTTAAAAATGTAGTGCAGGGATATTGAGATCTCCCTTTGTAGTTGTTTTTGACTCTTCCTTTGTCTTAAGACATTCATTTAAACTTTGCATATTTATGTGGTTTGCATAATTTTGTAGCATTTAATGTTAGACCCTGAACCATGTTTATGTAAATCCAGATGTAGACTTAGTCTGTACATGACATTACCGTACTTTCTTTCCAATCGCCATCTGGTTTGAGACGGAGCAGGTAAAATCAGCTCTTCCAAGAAAAATATAAAGTGTTTACCAATAACACAAATTTACTCCTTTATTTTTTTCTCACCAGGGAGGAAGGTGTGGATAGTTCAGCTGTTAAAGTTGGATTTGTTACCTACAACAAGGTGCTCCACTTCTACAATGTGAAGAGTGCTTTGGCCCAGCCGCAGATGATGGTGGTGTCAGACACAGCTGAGATGTTTGTCCCGCTCCTCGATGGCTTCCTTGTAAACTACCAGGACTCAAGAGCTGTTATCTACAAGTAGGAAACATTTTTATCAGCGATGTTTGGTACAAGCAATGTGTGTTGCTTTCTTTAAGTACCCCATCAGTGAAGAAGATGATACATATCCTATTTCAGAACACTAAAAGAAACCATTTCAGGTTAGTTTAGCTTGAAGGGCCACAGACCAAACTGTAAACCTTTCCCTCCTTTTTTTCCCCTCCAGCCTCCTGGACCAGATCCCTGACATGTTTGCAGACACCAATGAGAGTGAAACGGTCTTTGCCCCTGTCATCCAGGCTGGAATGGAGGCATTTAAGGTTAGCTGCAGGGTGACAGCTGTCAGCATGTCAACAGGCATAGTGGATACATATGTGTTTTTTTAAAGTTTACAAATGTGTGCTGAGTAACTTACCATTGCTCAGAAAAAGGCTTTCTTAGTTGTCACATTACTAGTTGTTTCTTGCTGTTTAAAACTTTAAATAATTAAACATCTAAATTAATAAACGTGTTCTATAAACTGCTATGATTTCAATTAACATGGCAACTCTGCTAGATAGTTTAAACTTAAAGTTTCCAAAATGAACAGTGTTGTTTTGAAGTCCAATTAGTTTAGAAAGTTTTTATCTTCCCAATATGTGTTTGGTTTACCCAACACACTGCTCCAGTGACATGGGATCAGTGTTAAAGCTCACGACACGCACAGCATTTCATTGGAGGCTGTAGCAATACTACACAACAACACGTGCAAGTGCAAGTCATTTGTTTGACTTTTCACTGTCAAATCCATTATTTTGGGGTTATTTTATTAGCTGAGAAATTAGACAAAAGTAGTTATATACCGTAAGTTCAGGCTAAGAATATTTTCAGAGGCCCAGTTTTAGTAAATGCACACCTGACAGGAATAATGTATCGCGTCAGTGAGCTCCTCTTTGGAAAAGTTGTCGCTTCAGATTTTCTTTTTCTTCCAGGCAGCTGAATGCAGCGGAAAGCTCTTCATCTTCCACTCCTCCATGCCAACTGCTGAGGCTCCAGGCAAACTGAAAAACAGAGATGACAAAAAGCTGGTTAACACTGACAAAGAAAAAGTAAGCTGCTCCATGTGTGAAGTTAACTTCTCAAGAACTTTAAATACGAGTACTGGCAGCTGTGCACTGAGAGAAAACATGCTTGTGCTCACTGTAAGCAGAAGACTTGTGGCTTTTTTATGGCTTTATAAGATGCTTCTTTTTTTGCGAGTAGAGTTTGTTTGAAACTGTTCTGTTTCTATTTTTATTTAACGATTTAAGCTCTATTTAAAACATAAAAATTATTTTAAAGATTACTCTGGACCAACCTCAGATTAATTTTCTCTTTATCCTTAGACCCTGTTCCAGCCCCAGAAGAGTATGTATGAGCAGCTGTCTAAAGAGTGTGTAGCACAGGGCTGCTGTGTGGATCTCTTTCTTTTCCCCAGTCAATATGTGGATTTGGCCACCATGGCTGACGTACCTTCACACACTGGAGGCTCTGTATACAAGTACAACAACTTTGAGGTAGCTGCCATGCCAATTTCCATCCTGCATGATTCTCTCATAACACAAAGGAGCAAACACATACGTTATCAACATTTGATCTTTGATTTTAGAATGATTTTGCAAATAGGTTATTGTTTATGGTATAGTCAGCCACAGCCTAATGGCTTAATGAGTTTGGGGAGCACATCCAGTCTAAAATAGAGCTGCCCCAGAGGAGTAATACAGCAAGCATGGAATGCTGCTCCAAACTACAGAAACAGAATTATTGTATAAACTCACAGTTTGTAACCGTGCAATGAAAAACAGTTGTGTGTATTCCTACACAGATATCTACATATCTCTTTTCTAATGTTTTATTTTTTTATGATTATAACAAACCCCCTCTGATGCATTCTCTTACCTCAGACTGCTTTGCACTGACCTGAGTCCAATTAATTCCTTTTCTCTTGTTTGCTGTATAACAGATGGAGGCAGATGGGGAGCATTTCCTGAGAGAGTTAAGGAAAGATTTGCAGAAGAGCATCGGATTTGATGCCATCATGCGTGTTCGTACCAGCACAGGTAAAAAATGATCAGATATAAGTTCAGACAAGCAGATGGCTCCCAGGAATTGGCATTACAGTTTGTGTGTGTGCCATCCCTCAGGCTTCAGAGCCACAGACTTCTACGGTGCCATTCATATGAACAACACTACAGATGTCGAGATGGCGGCTGTAGATTGTGACAAGGCTGTGACGGTAGAATTTAAGCATGATGATACGCTCAGCGAGGAGACAGGGGCACTCATTCAGGTATGTGTGTCTTTTAACATTTAATTTAGTGGAAAAAATGTGTTTGCTGTGGATTATTTTGTTTAAAATTGACACCGTTTCCCAGTGTGCCCTGCTGTACACCACCATTGGGGGGCAGCGACGGCTCCGCATCCACAACATCAGCCTGAACTGCAGTTCTCAGCTGTCAGAGCTGTACAAGAGCTGCGAAACGGACGCACTAATCAGCTTTTTTGCTAAATCAGGTTAGTGTTTTTTTTCTTAAGATACAAAATATGATTTACCCCCCCCCCCCCAAAAAAAAAAAAGTTAGAAAATGAAAACTGAGCATTTGAGTCTCAATGACCTCATCAGCTACTGTTTGAGCTTAGACAAACTGAGGCACACTGGTCAAAAACATTTAAAAGATCTGCTTTTACTAACCACACTGCATTTAACATAACAGCTGTCAAGTTTGGACATCAAGCATTGCATGCAGAAAAAAGCACAATTAATGATAGTTTGCCTTCATATTCAAGTATCAGATGACCTTTGTTAAACTCATCACAGTCTTCACTCAATATTCTATCAGCTAATTATTGGGAAAATTGTAGAAATAAGGACCACATGATTCACATGATGCTGCTACTTCTTTACTCCTCTTGTGGTGTTCATTTTTTTGTCTCCTTGACATAAACCCCTCCTCTCTGTTTTTTTCTTTTCTACTCCAGCTTACCGTGCCATTTTGAACCAGCCTGTAAAGACTGTCAGGGATATCCTGGTCAACCAGACGGCCCACATGCTGGCCTGCTACAGGAAGAACTGTGCCAGCCCCTCAGGTGCCAGCCAGGTCAGTGCAGGATGGCATCTGGAAAAGATATTTGTTCAATTTGCAGGCTTTAATCTTAGGATGTAAAACAATGGCATGGTATATGTGAATGCACAAAGCTGTAGATATGTGTAGAATCCACTCACCACCTGTCAAATGTTTACAGTAAAGTTTTGTTCATTTGTAGCTTATCTTGCCTGATGCCATGAAAGTGTTCCCAGTCTACATGAACAGCCTGATGAAAACTGCCCCTCTGGTGGGGAGCACAGAGCTCTCCACAGACGACAGGGCCCACCAAAGGCTGTCCGTCATGGGGATGGGGGTGGAGGACACGCAGCTGCTGCTGTACCCACGCCTGATCCCACTGGTAGGGAGTGAGCCTGCACACATTGTGCATGGTCCCCTTTTTCTCAGAGACACTGATGTCAGCATATTTGTGGATTTCCATTATCTCATGTTCAGATAAGCAGAAAGAAGAGTTTCCAAATGATATGTAAAATAAAAAGAAATCCCTTTGTTCCGTACGGTCTTTTTCCAGCACAACTTGGACGTTAACAGCGAGGTGGTGCCTGCTCCTGTGCGCTGCTCAGAGGAGCGTCTCACAGACTCTGGAATGTTTCTGCTGGAAAACGGACACTCCATGTTTCTGTGGCTGGGCCAAGCAAGCCCACCAGACCTCATCCAGAGCATCTTCAACATGCCCTCCCTCGCACACATGCAAGGAAATATGGTCAGAATTCATTTGATCACATTCCAACACTCCAGAAAAAATACTTTCTGCTTATCTATTTGGTGCCTGGTAGAATTACATTATACCAGGAGAATGTCTCCATGTTTATAGAATTCTTTGGAATCACACCACCACAGTAAATAAGGCAGCACACAATAGCTGAACAGCTGTGAAATTACCTAAACTGAATGTTGTTAAATAAGCCTTTAACACGTTAACTTAAACAACTCACACCATGTTGTTGAACCATGTTACAGATTCTTTAAGATGATTTGTTTTTCAGAATACGTTGCCGGAGCTCGACAACTCCTTATCAAGAAAGGTCAGGTTTATGATCAGTGACCTTCTTGAGAAGCGGCCAAATTCTATGAAAGTAAGATTTCTAACATTTATCATCTTCCTTATTTTTCCTTAATGAAATCAAACGGGAATACATTAATTGGAAAGGTGTTATTTGAGATGAAAACAAAAGCGTAAGTCTGCTGCCCTCTAGTGACACCAATGAGGAAACGCACTGCCCAGACACTAATCATTTGTAAGAAAATGCTCTTTTGTATGATCTTGAGTATCAGTCTGAAAAAATGTTTCGTTTGAATAGTACAGAGAGTGAATGTTAAACTGATGAATAAGATTGTTAGCAACCGTTATCCAACAGTCAGCAATCAGCTCATAATGAGGTGCAGACATTTCTGGGCAACCCGGGAACACTTTTTCAGAGAGTTGCTCATAAAATGATCAGACAAGCAAACGAAAAATACTTTCAACCAGGGGTGGGAGTTCAGTTTTACAGTTCAGTGACACAAAAGTGACATCCGAGAAAAAACGCTCCTGTGTCCTCAGGTAGGTATATATTGGTTTGCAAGTGAAATTCAAAGCAACCCTGAAATATTAAAAAAGAGATAGAATAAAAAAGAAGCCCTACAGTGCGCACAGATATGTGGAGAGAGGAGCGTGGGGGGATGATGGTAGCTGAGGCATTTCACTGTTTGAGGCGAGGAACGAGTTTAGTACAAAACCTTTTCATTGTTTTAACCTGAAAATGATCATGCATGTTCAATGACAGCCAAATGTTTGAGGTATAGAAGTCATTGTGCTGGAGGGACATTTAAAGCCCATCACACTGAGCCTTTTGTTTTTTCTGCCTGCGCAGCTGCAGATTGTGAGGCAGAGGGATAAACCGGAGATGCTGTTCCGTCAGTTCTTAGTGGAGGATAAAGGCTTGCACGGCGGAGCTTCCTACATGGACTTCCTTTGCTACGTTCACAGAGAGATCAGGCAGCTTCTCACTTAACCTGTCCCGCCTGGACCTCCGTTTCCTCCTCTCGACTCGCCTGAGAGGAAGACGGCATCTAATGGACAGTGCATAGAGCTCACAGGGCCAGTCTCAGTAGGTCGGATTTAAACGTTAGAAATGATCCACAGAAAGTTTCACAGACTTACTGAAAGAAACAGAATCAGTGAGAGCCTTTTGGGAATCCTCCGATCAAAGCTGCCTTTGGCATCATTTGATACAGATAGTATGATCCTCAAATGATCACTTTTCACTTAGGGAGCCCTACGAGAAATCTGGGGGAATGAATTGGAATAAATATCCCGTATTTCCTGTTTATATACTTGGTCTGATGGACAGACAGGAATGACTTAACAGCCTGAAGCTTAAAGAGATTTTGTAAAAGGAATCAATTGTCATGAGCAATACAAAACCCACTATGTATTCAATTAGTTACAGCATTTATTTTCTCTTTTTACTTACTTTGGTAAATTTATATGGTCCAGGTTAACAAAGGGTTTTGTGTTAAAATACAGTAGTTATGCTTTGTTCCACTCACAAGAAGCCAAAGCATTTAGGGAGTCTCATTTAATAACTTGAAACGTTTTTGTTACTCATTTTAAACAAATACATTACAGAACATACAGAACGGATCTTTTGAAACCATGCCAAGGATTTCATGCGTCACCACTCTTTAGGCTAGAAGTGCATATTGAAAAACACAATGAATTTCAAAGCTGAATGAGAGCAATTGTGAAAGAAGCCACCGTCTTCAAGGACTAAAAGTCCGTCCAGTTGTTACTGTGTGATTCACACATGCCCCCCACCAAAAGTCAGATTCTTTGACCATTTATGGCTGAGTTTGTCTTCAGAATGTGCAGTGATGCAGAAAGCGTTTTTGTTTTAATGTTCAGAGTACACAACAAAGTGAACACAGCTGTTGCTCAACTGTGCAACGACCAACAGTGTGTCCTGGAAAGAAACAAAAGAATGCATAAAAAAAAGGCGCCCAAAGGAAACAGGATTAGTTTTTGGTTTCTTTAAACACAAGTGATTCTCTTAACAGTCTGTCTGTAGCAGCGCAACATTTTTATTGGTATAAATTAGCAGCAGTTTAACTTCATCAAGCTGCCCAAAATGAGCCTTTGCCAATGTGTAGAAACAATGACAGTTATTAAACCGGATCATCTTTTTTCAGCTCATATTTCATGTAAAGAAGTTAGAAAAATGTAATCAAATCTTATGTAGAAAGATTATATTTACCATTTCCAACAAGGGTTCAAGTACTGTACAGTTAAAGCATCATCCTGTAATGCATTGCTTGTTTTTTCTTACAGGTAGCTGCTTCTGCTTAATTCATGATATTTATCTCATAGGTATTCTCTGGTCTTGTGTATGTGTCTACAAAACCTTTTTTTGTACATGAAATGTCTAACTTCTGTTTTCAGAAAATATTGCCACCTGCCTTATATTGATATAATTGTCTTAATGTTCATGTCACAGAAGTGCATGACAAGCGATTCTGTCCACTTGGTGTTTATGCAAACTTATCTCAGGTGATCTAACTTTTCATGGTTGAAAAACAGAAGTAATTTGAATCAAACTGGGGAGAGGATGGATGAGCGTTTGTGGGACAGTTTTGTTGTGTCATGTGAATTTCAACTCTGACAAACACCTCTCGACTTAAACATTTGACTGAAGGTACTACTTTTGGTTATCTGCCCTTTGTTTCATTAACATTCCATCTTCTGATCTTCAATAAATGACAATTTGAGATTTATCATTTAGATACACATTTATGACTGTGCAATAATTGTAACTGTACAAACAAGTAAAAGTCAAATTTAAATACTCGACTAAAGGTGTCATAATTGTATGTATATTCAGTCAGACATGAGAGCAATCATTTTCATCCCCCCGTTTAATATCCAGTTGCTACCATAAGGGGGCATGAGTTAACTGTCAATTGGCAGGGTCTCAGGTTGTTTTTAATCCCGAGCATGATCTAGTTTTTGATGGCTATTCTTCACTGTGTTTTACTGAAATGGAGAAACTAAGTTTGTCATGGCATGTGGACGTTCAGTTTCTCTAGACAGATGTCAAGGCCGGTTTCACCACCTTACAAATAAAAACCAAAGAAATTCTCCATTAGTTAGAGAAGGAATATTTTTACAGATACTGATAGACTGCAGACAAATGCTTGGAGTTGGATGAGGATGCATTTTTTCCTCTGCTGTAGTCATACCTGCTTTTAAAGTCCAAATTGTCAAACTACCAGCAAAAGTCTGACAAGTGGAAATCAGGAAAATTAAAACTGAAGCTCCTCTCTGTGGAAGTAAACACAACAACACACGCAGAGCAAAAGGTCTAATTGACTTTACTAAATGAAACACATCTCAATAAGATTTTGGATCTTCGAGTGCGACTCCCAGTGTTTTGACATTATGTGTGAATACTTTCATAAATGACAGGATAAACCACAAACTGACTCAAGACAAATGCTTCTTTTCTTTTTAGGAAATCTTCCTCTTCCTACAATCCAAATTAGTCAAAGAAAGAAGATGTTAGATGAACAGCAGTCAAGATATAATGTCCAGAAACTTTAAGTAATCCAGAATTTTCCAAGTATTTTCCCTAGCGCACCTATCTTTCGCCACCGTTGGGGGCCAGTAAGGCAGAACAGGTGTGGGCAGCCGGAGGGTATCCCACAGGATGGGGAGGAGAAAAATGATGAGGGATCGCAGCTGATAACCTGATGAGTATAACACAAGGTTTTTAAATCAGCAAACAAATCCCACTTCCTTTTCCGACTTGAACAGTTAAATTCATACATCTCAAGACCTTGAATCCACCCGAGAGCTTTCATTTAATACTGTGCAACTGCCAGTCTTTTGTGCAATGACCATAATCACAAATAAATAACCTAAAACACTGCCCAGTCCTGTGAAAACAGTGCCCCATAAAGAAAATGTCGATAGATGGCTTTACAGGAAATATACATAAGGTTAAATAAAATACACTAAAAGCAGCAATTCTCTCACAATAAAGATTTTGTCATCTAACTGTTACTCAAGGTAAATCTAGCTACCTGTGTGCTTCAGTGGACAAATCATTGACATCGTGGTCCGGTTTTTATATAAATCTGACATACAATCCTTGTGTTGTGTCATCCAAGTTGGCAAGTAGACATGAATAAAAGTGGACGAGTTTCTCATAGAATTCTTATATAATGCTTGATCTATAATATATACAATTTAAAATGGTACAATGTTTGCTCTTTTTTTTCTTCCACCAAAGAGCTTGAAAGCGGGGTAAGAACACTCTGGAGCTTAGAGCCATGCTGGAATGTAAAAACTGACTAACTCTGACCTTTTCAGTATTTGTGATGCTGCAGGATGTCACAGTGATTTCACATGGCCATAAATAACAAAGGCTTCAACAGACTTTGGAATGAATTCATTTAGAAACTAGCCATTCCCTTTGGAGTATATCTTTCTTTTGTATGTAATATTAGACCTCAAACCTCGAGGCGAATGGAGAAAATATTTTACCTATTCAATTATCCCTCTTTTCTATAATTAATTTAATTCATAAAGTGTTTAAAGGGGAACTCGTTCCAGAGTGCTCCCACCACGCTGCCTACTCCTAATTGTGGCCCACAGTAATGAACATTGTAACTATCGTCAAAAGTCTGCATAGCACATTCTACACAGTATGAGTCCAATGCAGTAACTGGGCCATACTGAAGATGCTGCTGTCTTCCAAAGCCTTGAGTCAGCCAAAAGTTAGAGAACATTTTCAAAGAGGTGCATTGATCGCATGATGTTTTCATCCTGAGGATTAAAGAAGAGACAAAGTTAGGAGTAACAATGATTTCAGGCCAGCAGCCTTCAGAGCAGAAGCGTCGGCATTAAGCTTACGTTTTGGCAGCAGTCAATGAACTCATCTATGGTTACCACTCCATCTTGGTTCTTATCCATCTTCTGTTGGTGGTAGAAAACAGTGAAGATGAAAACAAGCTGAAGGGTGTTTGTAAACCCCTTTAGGACAGCACAACAGACTCGGACTGCACACGTGCCTGAAAGAATACTTCTACGTGTTGCCGTGGCGTCTCCTCCTTGAGGACAGGATACGTGCATTTTCCCATCATGTCGTAAATGGCCTTCATGATGTCCAGCATCTCCTGAGACACACAGGAATGGCACAGGTCACCAACAACAGCATTTAGGCTGTTCAGAAGTGATTGTTTTACTATTCGCTCTTGGAAGGAATGGAGAGGTTTGTGGATCATTCAGAGTGCAGATGTGACAACAGTCAGCCGCCACGTTAAGGCAACACTGCTCGGCTTTGCATACCTCTTTTGTGATATATCCATCTTTATTGATGTCATAAAGGTTGAACGCCCAGATTAGTTTTTCCTGGACAGTTCCTCGCAGGAGGATGGAGAGCCCCATAACAAAATCCTGCAAGTGAGTAATGATTCACTTTCAACTGTATTAAACTTTCACACGATCAAAGAAAGTGCACAAAGAAAAAACAAGAACTGAGATAACCCATGAGATAACCTTAAAGCGACCTTTTTATGCGTCAACTGTTCTGGAAAGCATACAGTACTAAGTCATTAATTAGAGATGAATTGTGAAACAGCAAATACAGCAGACACTATAAATCAAAATCGCCTCATTATTCAGCGGATTAGGAGCCTCATATTCTGTGTGGGTCCTGAGGGAATGCGTGCGTTTTTGAGAGTGGACCGCACATAAACCAGGGATTTCTGTGTACCATCATGACAGCTTTCCTGTCCTAATAAGCAAATATGTTTCCCTCATAAATATTGATAAAATGTTGCTTACATTGGGAGAACGTTGGTTGGACTGAGGCCATAATGAGTTGTGCCACAGGAGTATGCAGCCTCAGTACTCCATTATTTAGTTGGAGCATCTTTGATCACAGATCCCTTAAGGTTTATCACACTTTGGCAGAATGCAAACGCAGACATAATCAAGTATCCCAGCCTTGTCTTTTTGAGTGATGGAGCCAACATCCTCGGCTTACCTCAAAACTCACAGAGCCGTTGTGATCCGTGTCGAAGGCGTTGAACAGGAAATGTGCGTATGTTGAAGCGTCTGGAAGCACAAACGCAAACCTGGTAAACATGAGATGGTTAAAGCCCAGCTAATGCTGAAATTAAATGAACACTGTTCAAAGCAAACGTTTTCCATTGCTTTTCTGGGCAACTTCAAAGAAATGGCCCCACTAAGAGAGAGGCATAAGACATAATCAACAAAGAGTTTTATCATTGTTTTCTTTGTGGTTTTCAATTTTTGTTTACGGGTCGGTCCGCCCGTCTTCTGAGTAGATCTATCAAAGGCTCATATTTTCTGTCTTTGTCCTCGAGAAGGATTTTAGCATCAGGAGGAAAACCAGCAGTGAGGAATGCAAGGCTGCCTAAACGGACTTTTCTACCTGTGTCCTCCACTGCATTCCCTTTGATGCAATGTCAGTCTTAAGTACTGTGGACTTGGTGCAGTTATTCTCAGAAAAAAACACTCCATTTAAGTCAGCACCAAGAGGAGATGAGAAGGAGTAAAAGCAAAGCATTGAGCACGGACCTCCTTGCGGGAAGAATTGAGAGTAGATATCTTTAAAAGTGTCCTCATTGACAACTCCGCTGGGGCATTCCTAGAAGACAGAATGGGATAGCATGGGTCATTTATCATCGACAAGTAAGGCTCCCTTTTATGTTGCAGCACTTGGCTTAACTTTAAAATGTGTCAATTATAGGCAAATGTTCCAGTGTTACAATGACTAAATGTTACAATTCACACGGACTCAATCTGTGGGCTAATAATAAAGAACCAAAGTAAAATGCTCAACATACAGCTCCTTAAAAAACACAAGCAGTGGAGTGTTACAACAATTAAGTCTCATTAAATGAACCAAAACTCAGCACAGGAATTCCAATGGCGTATCGACTGAAAAGCACTTGTCTGCATGCTTTGGGAAGATCTGTTTGGTGCAAAACACTCCTTAGTTTTTAGAGAGGCTCTTAAGGTAGAACACACAAATCATTCAGGGGTCCCAATTCAGTTTATGAAACTGCTCCTTTCACATACTGTGCTGTGAAAAATGAACTGCAGAGAACTTGAATGGGGTAATTGACATCAAGAGGTCATTAAACTAAATTCAAAAGATCATGGTTGAAAAAAGGCTGTCTTTGAGGTTCCACTGCATAACAGATATTCTGAAATATGTTGTATTTTTGGAATATAACCAGTTATGAAGTATGTCCTGAACTCTATGATGACACATTTAAAAGTCCACAAAAAATGTAAAAAGGAGTGATAAGATTTGAACAGAATAGTCAGGTTTTTTCAATTTTTTAATGATTTTCTTGTACTCTGGAAATAAAATAAACTATCTCCCAAAAGTTGAATCCAATCCAGTTATCTATATTTGACAAATTATTTCTAAATTATATCCTTGCTGTTGTGGAAAACCAACTCTAACCTACATTAAAAATCTGAGAGCAATCCTGAGAGCAAAACAGCTCTGTTGCTTCTCTGTGCATCACACAAAGTGTGTTTTCTTTGTTGTTTTGTTGTTGACTGCAGAATCAGTTAATTAGCACTTTGTTTATGCTCTACAAACGTCCTAATAATGGACTCTTGTGTGCAGCAGAGAAAGGAAACATCATGCAATCACGTTTGTGTACAAACACAGACTGACTTTTACAACTGTCGACCTCAACAACAAAGTGGAACAGTCATAATCAAACATCTGTGCACAAATCAGCTTCTTGTGCCACTCTCTTACTCATCCTCACAAACCTGAGGAAATCAGAAGAGAACCAAAGTCAATAATAATGACAGAATTCATGAGTAATTGTATTTTACCCTCTCTTTTCAGGGGGGACATTTCTGCCAGAAAGTAGCCTGAGTGTAATCTAGTTAGGATGCACGACCCCTGCGAATCAATTTAAAGCTCAAAGACATAGGACCACATAACGACCATGCCAGGAAGCATTTTGATCAAAGTAAATACTCAGGACCTCATTCCCATGCCACAGTAAGTCTCTTCTTCTCCTCTCATACTGTGTTAGCATCAGCAGAACGGAAAAAAACTCCTGAATTACATATTTACATGTGTTTGTAGTTAATTTCCAAGACTTTATCCGTCTTATTCACCAATTTGGTTAAAAATACATATTTATTTCGTTATGCCCTGTTAAAGATAAAAGCACTTTGAATTACATAACAGGGATTATATGTGACCTTCGTCTTAATCAAAATAGCAATTGAATACATTTCCACTCGTCCTTGGATGTTGTTCCATTTTGCTCGTTATTTACATCATTCTCTGTGGACTGAGCGAAAGATCAAACAACACATTAAATGCCTGTAAAATGAGATTGTCCTTGATAAGAAAATCACAAAAACAAAGCTGGCCCTCAGTGTAGTTCCAGCCAGAAACTTGTAAAAAGGAACAGGAGTACGCATTGCAGAATTAATTAAAGCTGCAAACAACGGCATCATGGCTGATGGAACACATGTATAAAAGCTTCATTTTGGGATCCACTCGCTGACCTCGGAGAATGAACTGTGAAAACCCAGCAGACTGACTCACACTTGAGGACAATATTGTGCTTTTTCTTGTAGCCTGGAGTAAAGGGATTTATCAAAAAATAAGTTCTCTCTAACTCTGAAATGTGGTTTGAGTTCCCATTAGACATATTTTCAGATCTGAGACAAAGCTCTGCTTTGATGAGGAGTGACCGATAAAGCCTTTTTTTTTTCAAGACAGAGCAATGCATTAGAGGCATTTCATTTGCTTTGAAATTCTGAATGCAAAGGACAAAAAGCCAGACTTCTTAAGATGGGAATTGAGCCAGTTTCTATTAGTCTGGCTGACCTTAAAAGCTTACAGTTTCTCTTGGCTTCACCAGATGGTTTCAAATAACTGAATGACTATTGGGACAATTATGCAGACGATTACTGCGACAGTCCCAACTGCCATTCCAGTCAATTTCAACTGTGGGCAGAGCTCTGTTCATAGGATTCATGATCCTTTTAATCCAAGTCCCCTTAAAATTGTGTCAGTCAGGATTCAGGTGATTAGCCAATTGACCAATTAACAGGTAATCAGTAGACATTACTGTTTATAGAGCAAAACTACGCACACAACTTAATGGAGTTGCAGAACCTGTATGTAAGGAATTGGATAATGTCTGTAAACATATGCACTAAAGTTCACTTCAGAGAAGGACGGGCAATGTGCAAAGCAAATTAAAAGACTCATTAGTGAACTTCATACCTCTTCTTCCATCTCCAGGAAAAACAGACTAATGGGCAGACCTTTGCAGGGACTTGGCTGTAGCTCAGTGCAGGCTCAACAGGAAATTAAAGCCCCATGGGAATTCCCTTATCACAGGACTCTTTCACTGGCATGCGATCCTGGGTTGAGTTAATTCTGGGTCATTTCATTACGCGTCAAATCAGAGGTGTCTGTGACAGTGAGGTTGCTTCATATGGCCACTACTATGGTTACTGCTGCCTGAGACTTTGACCTGGAATGCAAATCCATAGCTTCTAATTGACTGGAGAAATTGTAATATTCTGTGGTGACACAAATGGACAGTCTAACAGCTTATGAGCCTGTAGAAAATTCCTCTGATTTCCTCAGAAACAGAGTGGGCTAAACACTGCAGAGAAATGGAAGGAACGCACCAATATAACAGTTGTAGAGAAGACCTTTGAGACAGAAAGTCAAATGTAACCAAGGAAACACGTTTCTTTGATATCAATGCTCAGGATGGAGGAAAGTCCACTGTTGAACCTCATGTGTGGCACTTACATTCTTGAAACCGCGGTAAAGGATCTGCAACTCCTTGCGGGAGAAACGGGTCTGAGCTTCCAGCTGCTCCAGACCCTCAGGGCGATGACGCACTGCAGAAAGTTCAAGCTCATCTTCAACGCTGTCTGCAGAGGGAAAGGGAACACGGTCAGATGCAAACAGGTACTTTTATTTGTTTTACTGAGGGCAGAATTAAAGATATCCCTCTGGCTGCGGACTTTTGAGCCAGCTGCTCTTAAAAAAGCGGGCACAATTTGTTCGACGGACACTGGTTCAGCGTGTGCAACTCAGTAACTACTATTTATTAGTTTGAGTTACCCTCACAAATTTGCATTATATTTAGTAAGGCCGGATTCAGTTATATTTCTTTATGCATTCATTTATTTGAGGAACACATGTTGAGTTACGGTTTCTTACCTTTTCATAAGATTGTGCTCAGAAGGATGGATTAAGTTCCTCCTTATGCATTTAAATTTGGGTTACACTCACATACTTTTCATAGCAGTCAACATTGTCACAAGTAGTGCAGTTTTAATTTTTACTCTTTCACAAACCCAAACCATATCCATGTTCCTCTCCACAACTGTGACATCAGAAGTAATTGTGTTGATAAGATCACAAAGCACACAGGTACTCGTTTCAGGGAGCCTCTGTTTGAAAAAGATAGCACTGCTGAACCCTGTGGAATGTTTTAATGACCTGTAGTAATGGCAGGCACTGTCTGGGTGCTGTCACAGACTGCACTGTCCTCGAAGCACAGCGCAAGACTCTCGTATACCTCAAGTGTTACGCACTGTCAAAGTGCCTCATTAGCACCACGGCCTGTATTGCGCCTTACAGCTAAAAGGCCACATTTTCCAGTATATCATATACACATTACAATGATGTTTTTTCAGGATATAAACAAAATAAAACATCTGCTCAATCTCATTTTCACTCTGATTTCAGTTCAAAGGCTTGAGACTTACAGCCATAAAAGGGATTGTTTTCATCCAGCCTGTCTATGTATGTATCTATCTATCTATCTATCTATCTATCTATTATAATTGTGGATTTAAAAACGATTAATCAAAATCAGGTAAATGTAAATGTTTGAGCTCTATATCCAGAAAACCACATCTACTTTTCAGGATCTGGTTATTATGGACACAGATTACATGTTAAATTTCAATATTTCAGTATTTATATTACAGTAACAGAGTTACAGGCTTTAGTAGCTGAAAACACTCAGCATTAAAACCAGCGTCTGTACTAGACGCTGGTTTGGTGCTTCCTTATATCCTAAACATCTGGAGTAAAAGTGTATAATCATCACTTTAAAAGTTACGTACGTTTTTTTTGTGCCCATTTATTTCCCAGATATATTAGTGTGTGTGTGAATGGGTGAATGAGGTGCATTAACTTAAAGCACTTTGTAGAAAGGCGCTTTATGGAGTTCAGTCCGTTTTATTTTATTAGTTTACGGGCAGTTCTGCCACATCCAAGATGGCGGACTTGCTGTAACGGACGAACTGTACTGGGGCTACCGGGCTACCGGGGGCCGGAGGGGGGGCTACTGGTAAGGGGCTACCGGGCAGGGGTCCGGAGTCCGGGACTTCCCTCTGGGGAGACCCGGCCCCCGGTATTCTGTCTTTTAGAACACGCCCACTTCCTTATTTTAGTCACATAGCTAAAAACAAGTCACATGACTAAAAACAAACCAATGAGAATCTAAAATAAGGAACAGCAGATTCAATTAAATATCTTAAAGATGTAGTCGTGAATTAAATAAAATATAACTATATTAACTACTGAATTAACTGAACTTTACACTGCAATTGTATAGCTGTGTATATATATATTTCTGGGACGTGCGGTCAGGGGAGGCGGAGCCTCACCGGTCATCACCTGACAAAACATACGATAACATATTAATATTTGTCTGCTGATCCTTATGTATGACTAATTGCGAACATTTTAACTGACAAAATCACTGAAATAGCACATTTCCTGTTGAAATACGGGATGAAACGTGAGGTGCGGCAGCAAGGAGCCGAGCTGAACCTCTGATTGCGTATTCCATCCCAAACTGGGCTGTTGGTGTCTGTCGGCGTATCGCTGCATGTCGCCAATATAATGTTTGCATATACGTTTCTATAGCCTGATTTTCCAGTCTGGCTAATGTCTTCATCCATGTATGTATCTACTATTCAACAGTTTATAATGTGCATCATGATGTACAAATAGGTTTTAAAATAAAACATTTCACACATAACTATTCTTTTTTAAAAACCTTTTAACAGCTGTAAAAGCAATGTTTTCTACGATTGAAGTCTGTGGTGAGCAGAGACACAGATTCTTTGAAAAATAGCTTTAAATAAAAAAGCATTTCAGACAAAAGACAGCATATAATCATCAGAGACAAACAGAAAGAGGAAGCCACTTGCTTTGATTACTTGATGATGGCTTTTTGCTCGTGGAGCACGGAAAAAGCCTCATGAGTCGAGCTCTCAAACCGCGCTTGTGAACAATCTTAGGGCAACCTGGGGGGATACAGCATCAGGTCTTGTGGTTACCCAGGCAACAGCCTCTGTACATTCTAAAAAAACTGGACATGCAAGAGGTGAGGGTCCATTTGATGTCATAAAGACTAAAGCTGTATCGTTGGTTCTTAAGGACAACAACACTGGGGGTTTTTTTCCATAATAAAAAAATAAATCTGAAACAGTTGTCCAAAAAAGGAGATGAGAGATCACATCTTGAGCTTGGAAAATTTTAAACTGTTGGGATTTGGTTTATTGGCAGGATAAACTCTGCACAGCTTTATGAAGGCTTTAAAGTTAGCATTGAGTTTGATGTTCCCAGTTTAGATGGATGTGTTGTCTTATAAGGAAATTTATGGTTTCATTGGCTAAATTTCTTATTCTAACATTTTGAGTGTACTGCAAAATAAAAAAACAAACAACCTGAAATATCCAAAATCTATTTCTAGTGATCAGCAACCTATTACTTCAGTCTTCAGCTATATTTCTACTGAGTAAATGAACAGCTACAATCTATGAACTCCAAACCAAACACGGCCCCTTTCAAGAATAGTTTCTCTCTGGCTAATGTAATAAAAGAAAAGCTGAATTGACTGTTAGGAACATTTAAAATATCTGCTTCCTTGAACAGAGTGTGCAAGCCCATTTCTTCTACCACCCAGGGCTATTCTAAAAAAAATGTCAGATTTGGATTGTACCAGAGGGTTTGTGTGCATGAAACAATGAATCACAGGTTTCAACAAGTCAACCAGATGTCAGAGGGGCTGATAGGGGTTGCAGCAGGCCTCTATTAAATTGGCTATAAAGGTACAAACAATGATATCATCGAGCAGGGGCAGTGAAAATTGCATCATCAATCTGCAGCCAAGGGGGAAAACAGTTGGAAAAGAAAAATGAATAAATAAAATGAATTAATAACAAAAAAAAGTCCTTTACATTTTTCAAATCATACATTTTACATTAATCAGCTGTCATGTGTGCAGTGAAGTGGTGTCAATCAGCTGGAAGGTTATTAGCTTGGTCCCAAACTTCTGTCTTTGAGAAAGATACCAAATGCCACAATTGCCCTCTTTTGTAAGCTGCTTTTAATAAAAGTGTCATTGATTTCGGCAATGTGTGGGGCATTAGTTCATGCGAGGGTACATACTGAATAGTGATGGAATGAATGGAGCTTATCCAAGTCTTTCAACCCTCAAAGTGTACAGGGGTGAACACCACATTTTTTTAACTGACTTAAGGCAAACCTCTAAATAAGCGGCCATAACAACAGACATTATTGCACGAAACCAAGTTCTGTGCTCTGAAAGATTTTTTCTGATGGGGTAATATATCCCTCAACACCAACACAATAAAACTGAGATTTAGAGGCTAAAACTCTTATCTGTGTCAGTTACCTCCCTGCCATGCACCTTCCCACCTAAGTGGAGACGAGCAGTCTGAATGCTCTCAGTAAGACTGAACCAGACATATCTCGCTTTTGTCACCAGGATATATTGGTCCTGACAGCAGGTTGGCCTTATTTGGAAGGATCACTGAACTACAGAGCGACATCCTTTCTACCTTGAAACTCAAGGACAATGTGCTGGGACAGTGACACACTGCCAGGACAGCTGTAAAAATGGTTATTGGTGAAAAGCTGTTCCAATGAGAAAGCAATAAAACAAAGTTGTGAAGTTGGATAAAGCAGAGTGTGAGTGACAAGTGCATAATTGTGCCGGAAAAGGGCACGTATGCAGTCATTGCCATCCGGTAAATGTTTTCCCTTTTGTGTTATTGACAAAACGGACCAGACAGCCTGTCTGTTTGCTTTTGTAACATTTCTACTAATTTATTAAATGGATTCAAAACTGCTGTTGTCCTGAAGAATCAAATGCATTTGCAGATTCTGTAACCTCTAAACATGCTTCATTTCACTGATATCACATGATGACCACACACATTGTCATGCAGTACTTTTGCCTTCTTTGATAGAAAATAAAAAAGACTGATCGCAGCAGCTTTTTGATTGGCGGCTGCTGTAATTGAAGGTTTTAGCTCTGTGTATAGCTCATCAGAATTGTAATTCACAGCCATCTCTGGGTAACAAAGCTGGTGTAGCTTTCCCTCCAGCAATACAAGAAAACAAGACTGACAGCGCTGTAATGGTTTTAAATAGAAATAAAAATCTCTGCAAAATCTAACTACCATGGGACACAGTGTAGATGGAGTTTAGCAATACAATGGTCTAAAAAACACTATCTTTTTTTCTGTTGACCCAACAAAACAATCAAGTCTTTCAACCCAAAGACATGAAAGTTTGAAAATGAACCCTCACAATAAGTCCAATCAATCGTGGCCCAGCTGCTTCAATTGCCAAAGGTTCATAGTACAGGTTCAATTAATCTATGAGGAAACATTGAGCTCGAGGGTGAATACTCACAAGCCCCAAATCAGGTGGATGAATGGAAAAAGGAGCTAATAAATAATTTATAAATCTACATCATGGATGAAATAAAACGTTTTCAGCTTGCCTTGCATGGCTGCTTAAAAATCAATAAATCTTGGACAGGTTCCTGTGCTGAGGCAAATAGTTTGATGAGTTGTGCTGCTGAGCTCTGGGCTTC